TCCATGAAATGATGCTGATGTTGTTGACAACAGGTTTAATCAGACTGCATGGAGTGGAGAAGCACCCAATTGTGACAAGGGTTCTTCCGACCATCGACTTTGACGAGCACGACCTCATGCTGAAGGACGAGGAGATGATCCTGAAGGCAGAGAAGGATAAGAGCATGGTGCGAACGACACATGCTTCAGTGCTTGTGGGACTGGCAGCGTTTGCCACTTCCAAGAAGATGCTGGCGGCAATGATGCCGACTTTGGCATTTGGAACTTTGGTGGATGCGCAATCCACTGAACCGGAGAATCAAGAGCAGAAGAGCTACTTCTCCGTGTACCTCATGATTTTCATCACGGTGATTTTGGCGGTGATGCTTGAGAGAATGGTGACAAGTTGGATGAGCAAGAAGAGAAGAATCCAACCTGTGAAGATCGAGTCCGACGACGATGACGACATGGATGTCGATCAAGAAGGAGATCAACCATCATCCTCAGGAGCATCCTTCCAGCGGAAGAGGAAAGCAAGTCCTCGAGACACATGGGAAGACCTTGCACGAAAGGTCATTGACGAGAAGGAGACGCTGAAGCGAAAGAACAAGAAAAGCGAAGAAGATGCACACCTACAGCAACAGGAGATCGACAGCCTCAAGTTTGACAATGAATGGTGGAAAGACAAATATGAGAAGCTTGAGGAGAAGTACGATGACAAGGACTTCGAGCTGAAGAATCTCAAGAATGACATGACAGTGATCAATGCAAGGAAAATGGTGCTCGAATCTACGGTCAGCGACATGAGAGCTGGACTAGTGAAGCTTGAAGACGAGAATGCCGAATTGAAGATGAAGCTGGACAGAAAGACAGCAGCATCATCGGAGAGACCAGCGCCGTTGACACCAAGGATCACTGACAATGCCGAGATGGCCGGCGAGATCGAGAAGCTGCAGAAGATGGTCAAGTTCAAAGACCAGGAGATCATGAGACACCTGGCTCGCATCAAGAGCTTGGAGCTGCCGGAAGCCATCTTCATCACGAAGACTGGCAAGAAGTTCCATCGAGAAGGATGTCCACATCTGAGAGAGGGAGAACATGTGAGGCCAAGAGAAGCCTTTGGCAAATGCAGCAGCTGTTGCGGCTGAGCATTTTTTTTGGCTGAAAGAAGCCATGTTTCCCGGTGTCCCAAACGAGCAAATCAGAGGATGACCGGAGTGAAATTGTGCAGACATGCCTCACGGCCTTATGGCTATGATCAAGTGTAGAACATGTTTCACATGACACGATACCGCAGGCGCCTTGGGCACAAATCTGTCGAGTATTACAGTATGTGTTTCATACTATTAACACCTCAGGGACCATTCAATTTCTCCTACAAGAACGAACGGAAGGCCAACGGGATCCAATGGCGCAAGGGATGGCTCGCCATGGCTCGCCTTGTCGTCAGGCCTTACTGAAGCATGGTGCCGATGCGGATGATGGTGGTGACAAGGCTCGATAGATCAGTGAAGGGTCAGAGGTTTTTCATTTCAACAGAGCAGAGGAATCCCGGCCTACCACTGGGAGGGTGGGCCGCCCAGTAAACCAGTATACCAGGACCCGACTTGAAGTATGACCATGGGACGTGACCCGAACAAAAATCAGATACGACTGTACTCATTTTCTGAGGTACTTTGAGACTGGTAGCCGTTGTTTAAAGCATTATACACGATCATACACTCTTTGAGATGTCGGCCCTGCAACCAGGCCCCATCATCATCCATTTGGGCACCTGGGGGGGGTGGGATATACCCAAACTATATCTGGTTTCTCGCATCCACAGGACCCTGGTAACCTGATATGAGCAGATGATTGCATGCACTGAGTTTGAACACCATGGAAGCTGAGCAGACCGTAACATGTTCCTTGGTCCTTGATGGATCAACGATGCGTTTTTGTTCCGAACCATGATGGATCAGTTGTGGTCGTTCGACCAGTGGAACTCGGGACCAGCGGTCGTACGTCGCGTTCTGGACTGCGAACCGCACAGTTCTGGACTGCTCGGCCAGCATGGTCATCTCCAGATGTTTCGGGTCAGACACAACCAATTCTTGGATGGGACTTTTTGGGCAAGGTTGGGATGCTTGGTAATGTCAAGGGGTCTATGTCACAGGTCTATAATCTAATATATAGTTATATATATATATTATATTAAATATATAAACAGTTGTAGTTATATCACTATTATCTTTGTGTATATATACATAGTGACCTATTTTGATCTCCAATAGATTATTTTTTTTCTCAGCTCACTGGCGATTCTGTCGATCGACTAACATGGTTTTTTGGTGTAGTTGTCTGAGGGATGCACGTCTTGAGGGAAAATGTTCTTTGCGTTGCGAACCTCTGAAATACATAAAGGACCACACCAGCACTTTCGCCAATCACTGGCTTGGATGTTGAGCTCGCATGATGTGTATATTAAATTGTTAAATGTTAGCTCTAAAGACCCAAACTCTCAATCCAGTTTTCTGCACGAGATGTTCTCCCTCTCCGCTCCACGTTGGCTTCCAGGGTTGGACGCCCCTCTCTGTGGCATCTGGCGAGGGCCATCTGGAGGTGGGTTTTGGCATACAAGATCCATGGCCACCCTCCTATCCCCTAGACCTCCAAGTACCTTCGGAGAAGGTGTTTGGGGTGGGTTTGGAGGGTCCAAATACCTTCTTAGGAGGTGCTTGGAGGTGTAGGGATCGAGGCTGATATGTTCAACACATTTGATGTGCGGTGAGCAGGCATGTGGGTGCCCAATAATCAGATACGACCAATGGGACTGGCATACATGGACCCCTGAAATCCACCACCCCAATAGTATGTAGTCTATACATGGAGTATTTGGGATATGGATAGATCGTCTTCACAGGATCAAGTCCCACGTCGTAGGAATCGAGTTCTCGACCCATGAAGTCTTCTGCCATGGCACCTGCGAAGAGGTGATGAAAGAGACGCTCCAGTCGTAGACCCGGTTGACCCAGTGGGGCTCCAGTCGTGCCTCCTACAGGTTCGGTGGTTTAGAGTTACGCACCCACCCCTGGCAAGCATCTTCTGAGGTACTTGGAGTTCCAGGACCTTCAGTCCATGACCGTCCTTGAAATCTCAGTGGCTGAGGTCACAATTTCACCCTAAAGAGGCCACTGGAAAGACGCCAAAGAGGTCACGTACTGAAGGTCCTGGTTGATCCAACATGGAGTTCTTTAGGAAAGGGAAGGTTGGTTCAAACGAAGGAGTCGAACGACCCTGGTTGTTGTGACGAAACAGACTGGCCTTCAATGGCAATGGGTTTGGATCTATTTCCCTTCTTCCACGGGTGTCTTTGGGAGGTCTCCCTATTTGAATACACACAAGTAGTTCCAAGGTTTAAGGTTTCTGGCTCAGAACATACACGGCTGCCTGGGAGTTCGCAGGTGTGTGATACCCTCCTGAAGTACAACGCCAACGTGCTGGAAGCCAAGTGCCGAATATCAATGTTTTGTTTTTTCCCTCGCCGAAGATTTATGGCACTGCCCGTGTGCTTGCAGACCGACTGCGTATTTCTTTGGCTTACGTTGGCCGACCACACCCGTGTATGCTTTCAAGTGCGGGCCACATGATGTTTGCTTCACTTTGTCAATCAAAAAGGTTGCTGCACCACGCAGGAAAAAAAGGGAAAATAAGTTTACCCAGACACTCCATGTATGGAATATATGCCTACATTGACCCCCCACTGATCGGCATATATGGCAGTCCCATTAGTCGCGTCTGGGTTATAACACTGCTTTGGTTGCACATCAGCGTCACGTCCAGACTTGCTTGCACGTCCAGGCAGGGCTTCTCTGGGGATGGGCGCTACGAGAGGAGCGCTTTGCAAGAGGCAGCAGAGCAGGCGCTACGAGAGGAGCCGGAATGATCGCAACCTCGGGTTCGGTACGACTGGCCGGACCCGACTGGCTGGCACCGTCTCATTGTCTCCTTCACCGGGTCAGTTCGGGATGACTGGAGCCCTAAAGAATGAGAAGCTGGATGTGTTGCAGTCAAGCTTCGATGCTGCAAGGGCTGGGGCTAAGCTGCTGCACATGAGCTGTAAGCCTTCCAAGTCCTGTGGAGGATGTGGAGGACCATTTGTTGTAGACACGGTCTCCGTGTGGACACGGTCTCCATAGGGTTGTCATGGCGTCCGGAGACACCGGTTGACCCGGAAGGTCAGGGGCTCCAAGTTTGGAGCCATCCCCCATATGCTGCCGACACGGAGACCCCTGAAATCAACCACCCCATTTGGGTCACCCGGATTCTCACTTCTTTGACCCTTCTACCACATCCCGGAGATTGTGGTGGGCTTTGTGCCCAAACCAACGTCGTCTGACTTCTCCCACGTCCCGGAAGGCTGCAACAGATTGCAACCACGCCCCTCCACCGAGCATAGCGTCCTTGTTACTACCATGGCTGCTGTATTTGGGCTTTTAGACCTTATATAGCTTGCATATGCTTGCATGGATTTGGAAGAAGGAAGACGGGAGCAGATGTGGCTGATGTGGAGCTGATCAGGGCCATGTTTCATATCTGACAGAAGGCCACCACTTGAGAATGTTTTCTGCATTTAACACTAAGTGCAAATATGTACAATTCCCAGAATCTCATGCTGTTGTACCTCGGAAAAACGGATCCAGTCACATATATGTCATACCAGGTCATACTGTTCGGGTCATGTTATAAGGTATTTCAAGTGGCGCCCTCTACCCAAAGACTCCGAGGACTGGACTATATGCCGCCCCATTGACCCCTGGTCAACCACCGCAATGTATGTATTTCATATATGACAGTCCTGGACAGGTCGTGTTTGGGATAGAGTTGAACTACTAGTAACAAGAAGCTACTAAGCTACCAGTAACAAGGGCATGGCTGCTAGTAACAAAGGGCATTACTACTAGTAGCAAACAGCTATACTAACAAGAAGCACATTTGGGCCAATTCTCGCCGAGCATGGCGCGCACGGCCCGCTTCGAGCCATGGCGCGCCTGGCGCTGCTGCCGGCAGGGCGAGTACAGGCTGGTGAAAGCTTCAGAGCATTTTTGTTCGATCAGACTACGGGAGGTGGTGAAGGTGGCGAAGGTAGTGATCTCGGCGTTCGTGATGTGTCGTTTCACAACGAGTGACATCCAAGATCCATCGTCATGAAGTGAAAAGCAGCGAAGACCAGCCCTCGTTTCTCCGTGCTGTCTTCGACTGCTAGGATCACCTGGAGACTTCTGGTCCTCGCCGCTTGCGATCACTGGAAGTCGATCGCTTCACACCTTGGGTCCCGACTGTGGAGGAGTTGATTGGCATTGGAGTACATTTCCAGGTAGGTTTGTGTGTGAATAGGTTGGAGGCCATCGCTCTTAGGTTGGAGGCCATCGCCTTTAGGT